GCCAGCGCTTTGATCTGGGACTTCTCGGCCTCCAGAACAGTGAGAAATAAAGCTTTGTTGTTTAAGCCATCCAGTCTATGGTATTTTTGTCATAGGTGCCCAAATGGACTAATATACTAACAACAGGACAAAACCACGACACATCTCCTGGTGAAATACAATAGGAAGTATCCATCACCTCTGACTGTTGACAAAAATGCTTGAGAGGCATCTAGGTGGCTCAGTCAGTTAAGCATCCAACTCTTGGTTTGAGCTCAGGTCATGATCTTGCAGTTGGTGAGTTCAAGTCTCGTATTGGGCTCCATGCTAACATTGTGGAGCCTGCTTGGGATATTCATTCATTCTCTCTCTCTCTCTCTCTCTCTCTCTCTCTCAAAATAAATAAATAAACTTAAAAAAAATGTCTGACTTGAATCTAATCATGAGGTAACAATTGCACAAATTCAGACTGAAAAATTCTAGAAGACAACTGATCTATCATGTATCATATACTCCTGTTAAATTTTTTTGGATATGATAATGAGACTGTTGTTATGAAGAGAATATCCTTGTTCTTAGGAGATACATAACTGAAATGTTTAGAGTATCATGATGTACACAATCTACTTTCAGATAGTTTGGGGGAAAAAATACCCACCACTCATATATCTGTACAGATTTATATCACAGGTTCATAAGTAAGCTCTACATCCAAGTGGGGCTTGAACTCATGACCCTGAAATCCAGAGTTGGACACTCTACTGACTGAGCCAGCCAAATGCCCCAAAGGTTTTTTTTTTTTTAGGTTTGTTTATTTGAGAGAGAGCTAGGGAGAGAGCAAGAGCAGGGGAAGGGGCAGAGAGACAGGGAGAGAGAATCCCAAGCAGGCCCCAAGCTTGTCAGCGAGGAGCCCAATGCAGGGCTCAAACTCACGAACCATGAGATCGTGACCTGAGCTGAAACCAGGAGTTGGACGCTTGACCGACTGAACCAGCCAGGTGCCCCACAGGTTTATGTCACAGGTTCTTAAAACCAAGGTCCGCAGACCCACGGCAGCACCAGCAGCAGCAAAATGTTCACCACAGGTAAATTTAGGTGTGGGGCGTACGACGGACTTTCATGATCTTATTCTTTAGCTTTTCTGTAGGTCTGACATTTCCCAAAGTGAAAGGCTGGGAGTACAGAGAGAAAATGTTAATCCATTTCCTTCTCAGGGAATCTAAAGATGGTTCTTCCTCAAGCTGTTGGTTCTTGAATGTGCAAAAGCGCTAAGTCGGACTGTTCCATGTTCTCTGCTCCATGTATAATGTGTGACTAAGGCACCAGCCTCAAAGGGGGTCGGGGGTGGGGTCGACTCCACGAAGGGAATACAACAGAGGAACAAATGGAGCTCTGCCATACAAATGGCTGCCTCCGGTGTTCGGGCTGTTTTTCTCTAATAAACATCGGTTACACCAAGAGGAATGTGAAGCTTTGGAAGAACTCATCTTGCATTTCTTACCTCTCTAGATAATTCTCGGGTCCAGCATCTCAGAATTTTTTTTTCCCCTTTTTTACCAGACTTCTACCGGGAGAGAACTTCCAAGCTAATTGCAACGGAAACCATAATTACCCCAGCCCTCACTCTGAGGTTCTTCTAATTAAAGGGCCTCCTTAAGGAATGTATTTGGCATTAAAGGAGCAGAGAGGATGATGCACAGTTAAGCAAACTGTTATGAAATCTGCTGAAGACGTAGATGACCCAGGAGCTGCTCAGCCTGTCTGCCGCCCAGGGAAGGGCCAGATTCCCTGAAGCCTTCCCGCCTTGTTAATTGTGAGAGGTGAAGAAGGTAAAGGAGCTAGAAACTGAAGGGCCGATTCTGGCATTTTATCTCCTGCTTAAGCCCTTCCCAGAGGCCCGGCTTCCACGGCTCAGAACTAGAACCATCCCCGGGTTTATATAAAACCATGGCATGGGACTAAACAGATCATCTTGCCCACACGGAGCGGACAAGAAAACCGAGGTCCCCACAGGTCATCTGTCTTGCTAAATGTCATTCACGCTCCTCGCCGGTGCTGCCTTACAGTTTGTAAATGCGTTTGCCTCCAGCCTCTGTATTAGGGAGCAGAAACATTTTCTGGGAAAAGGAAACTGCCAGCATTTTAGGCCGGCTGTAAGCAGCTAAAGTTAGACCTTTTCTATCAGGCAGCCCCAGCTCTGTCGCCTACACGAAGGGCTTTGGCAATGTCATCCAAGTTAACAATGTACGTATCTTTTGTCCTAGCAATTCCTGTTCTAGAAATTTATTCTATAGATATGCATGCATGAGTGTGCAAGAATGTTAATCACAGCCATTATTTGAAATAGCAAAAGACAAAGGGAGAGGTATAATGTCCATTTATAGGGGTCTGGGTATGTAAATTATGCTATACGCATTCAATGGGATATAATGCTGGTATTTCAAAGACTGAGGCAGTTCAGCAAGTGCTGATAGGGAAAGACTGTCAAGTTTCATAATTAATTTTTTAATTCAAGGTTCTTCTGTAAATGAGACAGACATTATCCATCCATATATGCGTGTTTATAAATACACAGAGAAAGGTTCGTGGATCTACTCCTATTCGAGGAGGACATGTGGTTACTGAGTTACACCTGTGTTTTACCCTCTAGTACAGCTTACATTTTTTAACCATGTACATGTAGCTCTGCTTTTATAATTAGAGAAAAAAGGGGAGAGCCTTGGAGGCTCTCAGTCTCAGCCCAGACCCTATCAAATGAAGACTTTTTAACCGAATTAGCAATTAAACTTCTGGATGTGAGCTAATCTAGTTTGCTATCTCAAAATATATACTCTTAGTGAAACAAATAATTTGAACATGGGTCAGGGCAAGGCCAGCATTCAAATACTGCTGTGCTGCAAACCCTCAGCCAGTGCCAGCCTCAGGCTGGAGTCGGAACATTTGAGTGGAAACATTTTACAGGAAAGAAAACTGATGCCAGCTTGGTCAGCAAGTTCTCTGGCTTCTCCAGGGAATTCTTTCCAGTCCTTCAAGTTATATTCAGGGTAGGGCTTGCACAGCTACAAAAGTATAGTCTCGCTTTGTTGAAGGAAAAGTCCAGTGAAACTGTGTAGCTACAAGACACTAAAGACTTTTTCTCAAAGGCTGGGAGAAGAGCAATTTGGCCTTCTGGATAATCTCAAACTTGTGATTAATAAGAGAAAGATTTAAAAAAAAAAAAGAGAAAGAGAGACAGCCTCATTCGGGAGATTCAAATGTTTAAACAACTATATGAGCAATCAATTAACTTGCAAAGGAGATGCAGAATATGTCAAAATGTAAGTGAAGGTCCTGGATGAGGACTCTCTGTCTTGTCATTAGAGACCCTCAGAGTTACAGGAACTTGACCTATTTTGAGGGACACAGGGGCAAGGGGATGTGACTTAGGTTGTGGGCAAGGCTTGTGAGGCTTCCTGTGTATCATCTCCTAGATGGACCCCTGGCAAAATCTCCAGTGGACTCGCTGCCTCCATTCTTGGGACCACTTACCTCCATCTCCTACCCACTGGCCATCTACAGGCTTATCGTAAAACACCTGTTTAAAACCATTTCATGTTTCTTACAAGACCTATATGAGTAAAACTTTTTGAAAACTACAGAAAGGGACTCTTGGGTGGCTCAGTCAGTTAAGCATCTGACTTCAGCTCAGGTCATGATCTCACGATTTGTGAATTTGAGCCCTGCATCGGGCTCTCTGCTGTCAGCACAGAGCCTACTTCAGATCCTCTGTCCCCCCCTCTCTGTCCTCCTCCTCCCTGCTCACACATGCCCGCTCTCTCTAAAATAAATAAACATTTAAAAAAACTACAGAAAAACACAAAAATGACCTTGTAAAATGGAAAGGAATACTGTTAGTTCATCAGAACATGGAACATCACAGAGATATATGTTCTTTCTAGGTTAATAGTGTAGATCAGTTACAGTGATCCCAAAAGAATAACATCAGGTTTGCTTTAAAGTTCACAGAAAAAAAACAGTCAAGAATAGCCAGTAAAGCCCTGAAAAATAGAATAAAAATGCAGGATTTGTACTGCTGGCTATTCAAAGTTATCATAAAGTCTCTATACAGTGGGTTTTGGTACATCACAGGAAACTCATAGAACAGAACAGAAAATCTGCAAATACATCCAAGTGAATATTTAAAAAAAAAAACCCACATATTTCATGTTAAAAACATTTCTGACATCTTCAAGATGAAGTTTCAGCACTTTCCCACATAAGATTTTTTGCTCCTATCACTCTTTCCAACTGCTGACCTTATACTTCAACATTCACAACTATATGTACCTTGGAGTCCCCTCCCTCTGTCCTCTGCATATGCTATTCCCTCTATCTCAATTACCCTTCCCTGTCCCGTTTATCTGAGTCTTACTCTTTCTTCAAGACTTGGTGAGATCTCTGGAAAACCTCCCTGATCTCATCTCTCTCAACTCTCATCCGGCCAGCAGAGTGAGGAGCCCCTCAATGGTGTACCCAATGCCATCCCAACACACACATACCTGTCTCCTGCTCGCACTGGCACCAAGAGCAGAAACCACAGCCCCCACGGTAGCCCTAGCGCCATCCAGTACACGGTTGCAGGAGTAAATGAGTACAGCTGGGAAAAGTCCATAAAGGACAAAGAGGAAAAGAGGCTTTCCTTTCATCTCAGAAATCACTGCACAAGTGACACACTCAGAGCGCACAGAAGCCCACATGCAGAAGCCCAGGCAATGGCCATGCGCACAGTGCTCTCTCTCAAGGCTGGCCCTCTCACAGATAAACCTGGAGGCCTGGGCGAGCCCCATCCACCAATCAGTTCCTCTTCTTACATCTTTTTCTATTTTGTTATCTGTTAACTTCCCAACACAAATCTGTTTCTCTTTAAAGGGCAGGCAATCATTACTCATACCAGGTTACATCAAAGGCCAAAATGCCTCGAGGAGGCCATTCGGAACAGACCCCGGCAGCTGCTCCTGCAAGCGTCCCAGCTTCTGACTCACCAGGCACCGCTCGTGCTCTCTGATCAGGAAGCCCTGGGCAGGCAACTTCAGGTTCCAGGGGGCTGCCTGCCACATCTCTGCTCTGATCCAACAAGGGCTTCGAACCTACCCAGATTACAAAGGGAAGAGGAGGTCTCTAAAGTACCCAAAACGGCTTTGAGCTGCAAATGGGACCATCTTCTTGAGGCATTTTGGCAGAAGTTTCTGTCCCTGTTCACTTTCACACATTTAATACTGAGTACTGTTTCTGCCACATCTAAACTTAATACCATGGAAAGATGACGTAAGAATAATCAGTAGATGTAGATTTCAGTGGAAACCATTAGTTCCCTAGCTCTACCCACTTAGAAAAGACTCATTTCAAATACTCAGCTCTGTAAATTACCTGGAGAAATGAGTCCAAAGGAAAGGAGAAAGTGCTACATAGGTAAATCATGACATTGTTTTTGATTTCCTCTACTCTTTTCCTATCATCGTTCCTTCTAAGCAAATACTCTGGAATCACCCACACTTTTACAACTTTGATATATGCTTTGAATTGAAACACGGTGATCTTCACCGCCAGAATTCTGAAGGCATATTTACAACCACCATTAACCAAAGAGTATACAACCCTCAGGCATCCAGGAGCTCTAATATTAGAGACTAGTCTAGTAGAGTCAACTCGATAAGTCATCTATTATTAATTTCACTTAAAGGGACGTTTGTAAAACATTTCTTTTTCAAATATAAATCACAGCACAAGCATTTGTTTTTGATAAGCTTCCCCGAGTGGAAAAAGTTGAAGTATACTAGCTGACCAGTAATTACGTGTTTTACCCATTCCCAATCTAGCTACCCTGCATTACTGATGAACACCCAAGAGTTTCTCTCAAGCTTATAAAATGCTTTAATTAACAAGTCACAAAGCATCTATGGTGCTATTTGCTTTATTTCCTGGGAAACTAGGCGATGGGATATGGGGAAGGAACTGTCAAAATCTGGACATGACTACAGAAGTGGGTTATATATGGAATTTCATATACCATGTGTGCTATAGCAAAAAAAAAAAAAAAAATCAGGAAAAAGAAGATGAAAAAAGTTGAGGGTTATGGTTCTAATACAGAACAAAGAAGGCCTGAAGTAATACCAGCTGTATATGGAAGAACTGGGGACAAAATGGTGAGCTCCAGGATCAAGTCCTGGTCTTTCAGCTAAGCTGCCATATACCCGTAGGCCTGGACGCTGAGCTACAACATTAAAAGACAGACAGACAGATAGACAGAGTATGCAAGCACCTGTGATAATTTTATGTGTCAATCTGAATGGGCCACAGTGTGCCCAGATATTGGTTAAACATTATTCTGGGTGTATCTGTGAGGGTGGTTTAGGATTAAGATTTGCATGTAAATCGCTAGACAGAGTAAAGCAGAGTATCCTCCCCAGTGGAAGCCTTATCCAAATCGGGTTGAAAACCTGAAAAGAACAAAAGGCTGAGTAAGGAAGAATCTGCCCTCTTCCAGTCTTTGAGCTGGGACACTGGTCTTCTGCTTTTGGTATTAGACCGGAACTTATACAGCTCTTCTGGGCCTCCAGGCTGCCAACTGCAGACCTTGGAACTTCTCAGCCTCTAAAGCTCCGTGAGCCCATTCTTTGTAATAAATCTCTTCATTTATAAACACACACACAACCTACTGGTTCTGTTTCTCTGGAGAACCCAGACTAACACAGAGCCCAAATCAATGACTTCTACAGGTCACAGAGAGAGCCTATCACCTTTGAAATTATGCACTGGGGAACATCAGGCTCTTGCTGGAAACTTTCAGCTTCTGCTTACCTGAGACCTCCATAGCTCCTGTGGTAGAAGGGCTGAGGGAAGCAAAGTTCTAGAAGCTTTGTTCATATCAATAATGATGACAATACCCAAAGAGTTTGTATGAAATTGTCTCTTCTCACAAACAAAACAAAACAGCTCTTCTCACCGCTGATGAAGGAAAAATATTTAAGCCTTCACTTAAACCATTTCCCCAGGGAAAACAGGTGAGCCCATTTATTACATAGGACTGAAAAGGGAAGGTGGGAAAAAGAAACAGACTGGAGTCTAGTGAGGATGAACACTTCCCAGCTTCTTTCAAATCTCCAACACTCACTCCTAAAACAGAATTCTATTCTCCTGCCTGAGTTCTCCACTCCAGCACAATCCTTTTGTCACACAAGAAGGCAGCTGCCGCCACTGCGGGGTCCTGTATGAGAGAATCAGAATCTGCTCTAGATACGTAAATAAATCAGCTGGGACAAAAGACAGAAATGGCAAGGGAAAAGGAATAATTTTGAAGAAACACATCAACACTACAATGAACATCATCAACTTATTATGAGAAATCCAAATAACAGTAGCAATCATTGGTTGAGTGCTTTCTTTGTGTCATCACAGGCTTAGAACAGTGTTTGGAGCCTGCCAGTGCCACATAAAGGATCAGCTGTTTTTATTATTTAATCATGTTGCAAGTTAGAGCAAGTGAAGGAGGAAGAAGAGACATCTGAACTGCTCCTTGAAGAATGAAGTGGATTTTAGCAGGCAGGCCATGGGAAGGATGGGATAAGGCATCCAAGACAGAGCCAGAGGCAGAGTAAAGCCCATATACACTTGGGGAACTGCAAGTTTTCCCGTCCTGTGGAATATAAAGCCTTAGACTTTGTTTTGGAGGTTGGGGGAGCAGCGGGACACAGTGAGGCTGGTGCCACATGGGCTGACAAGTATGACTCCCATTCATGTCATCATGGAAATATACTACTGGAAATGAGGCCAGAACAGAAAGCCCAGGCTGCACACTGGGGACACAGTCTGGAGGGGGAAACAGATGAGTAAAGAACTAACTATAAGGCAGGTGGTAGACGCCATGATGGAGATGTACAGAGCCACGTGATAACCTCAGAGCAGAGGACGGGTTTTTTAGGAGAATGTGACCCCTGAAGGGACATGTATACGGCTTACTTTTGAGCACCACATCTTGCCACATAAAGAAGGGAAGAGCAGCTCTGGTGGAGGAATCAGCATGCACAAAGGCTCAGGGTGTGACAGTGGCTGGAAGTCTGAGGATCTCTGGGTCAGGTCAACGTGGCAGAGCATAGAGCCACGGTGAATGTGCAGATGACCAGGAAGCTAGGTGGGGCTTGGTGGTGAGAGGCCTTGACGTCCATGACGTGGAGTTGTGGATTCAATCCATCTGTGATGAAGGCTTGTATGTATGAATGACTGGGGTTGTAGAAAGTTCTGCTGGGAGCCATGCAGAGGGGATGAGGCTGGAGGTCGGTAGACTAGTGAAGGCACTACTGGAGCAATCGTGCAGGACCTAATTAGATTCTGAGAGTGGGGGAAGCGAGTTGAGAAGGTTTATAGCTTGGGTCAATGAATCAGTATGACGCCGTGACTGGAGTTAACCAGAACCTTACAAAGCAGATAGAACCTGTTAAAAGGTCAAACATTTGTTGAATGAATTCATTAGTGAAAGAATGGCTGGACAGAGAGGGATGGAGACACAGGACACAAAGTGGAAGCAAAACTGGTGGAAGTCAGGAAATGGGTTTGGTTTTGGATCTGTGGAAATTGAGATCCTTCCAGCAACCAGGTGAGGACACCACCAGTTGACTGATGAGTAGGAGATGTCTGCCATGAAAACTGCACGTGAACCCACTGGAGTTCATTACACTCTGCCTGTCCCTACCCAGGAGGTTACATCTTCCACCAAGGGGAGGTGCTTCCTGCAACTGCCTCTTTGTGGCCTCCAGCAGGGGGCAGCACAAAGGATGGGTCAGAAGAAAAGAACTCGGGCTTAAGTATGTGCGGTTTAAGCCATAGGTCTCTAGAAGCTTCTCTCACAGGTATGGAATTCAACCACAATGCCCACTGTGGTAAAGCACTGTTTTGATCCAAGAAGAGAGTGACGAACAGAATGACACTGAGACCAATTCATCTTTCAAGTAGAATCTCTGAGCTGTATTTTGTTTGGTTAAGAATGGAAATTCCACTTTTATTCCAAGCCAATCTTCTGATGCACCAAATTCAAGGATAAACGTTCATTCAAGAACTTTAAAAAAAAAAAAAAGTGAGATCACAATGATTAAAAAACAAAACAAAACATTGTTTTGCAAGGGAGGGGCAAAACGGTCTTATCCTCAGTTGGGGCAGAATTCCTAATCCTAGTCTCTAGAAACAACACAGGGCCTTGAGCAAAAAAAAAAAAAAAAAATTTTTTTTTGGTTGGGGGGTGTTCATTTCCTCCTATGTAAAATGAAAGAATTTAATTAAATAACTTTGGATTAACTACCAGGGCTGAGGTTTATGATAAGATTGTGATTAGGGGCACAGAGAAGAAGAAAATGTCTTAATAAGCACTTCTTTGTTGCCTGTTTGAGCCTTTCTTAGTAAACTAATACATTAACACTATTCCTGGAGAGAAAAATCTTGGAAATGACCCATTTCACCAACAGGAGAGCATTTCCAGTAATTCACATGTGGTAGAGTTAAAAAAGAACCTGGCTCAGATAGGTCAGGGAAAAAATTCAAAATAAGTGTTTATTTTTCTGATCAAATCTAAACAATCGGTCTCAAAATAGAACAGCCCCAGAAAAGCCACAGACTCTTCCAAGTGGAAGTCCTCTACTCAGAGGAGGGTGACGCAGAGAAAAGAGGAAAAGGTATTTCCCTCTCATACCAAGGGAGTAGAGCTAACAATGTGTTTGTCAAACTCTTTACACATATTTAGGAGCAGAGCATCCTTTAGGCCAAAAGAATAAGCTGATTGCGAAGCACAGATACTTCCAACCAGAAGCCAAGTAGGGCATTTGGTCGGACAACAGGATACGGCTAAGCAAAATGAGGTCCTCCTCCACAAATCCTACAGTCTGGGTCAGAGCTTCTAGAGGTTGATCAATCCAGGGTCCGGTGGCTCAAATGTCTGAAATTGTCTCCCGTGCTTGCTGCTCCCTCTTCGCCAGGTAGCATGAGCCCTGGCTTCTGCTCAGTGAGTGCACACTCTCAACAAGCAGGAAGCTTCTGTATGGGAGTGAGAAGCTAGGACAAAAAACAATCAGCT